GGGGGGGGGGGGAAGAGAAGGCAGGGCAGGAGGAGAGAAGCGAGAAAGGAAACAAGGCCCCACCGTCAACCAAAGCAGGAGCACTGAGTGCCGAGGCCACGCAGGCCGGAGCCCACTCACCGTTGTCGCTGTCCGACTTGTTCTCGTGCTCCGTGTCGGTCAGGGTGAGGGCGGAGTTGGACCGGCTGGACAGGCAGGAGCTGCGGCCCGACTTGACCCCCCGGCCCCATAGTCTCATGGCGTGCTCCGGGGACATCACGGCTTCGTTCTCCGTGTCGGCGTCGGACCCTGCACTGAGAGAGTAACCTCGGTGGGGCAGCCCCATTTCCGCACAAAATGCCAGGCCTCTTCGAGTTGCAGGTTCACACACGCCTAACTGCCTTAGGGTAAAATTCTGTCCTAATTAGGAGGAAAAAGAGACAACAACCCGTGAGTATATGGTCAGCTTGACTTTTAATTTTTTTTTTTTTTTAAGAAACTCTCCATAAAATACATACGCAAGCTATCAGCACCAGGTGTTTACATCAGTATTGCCTGGCATGTGGCGGCCAAGGGGGTGCGGCTATGGGGTGTGGGTGGGGGGCCCCCGCTGACTCTCTGCACGCCCCACTCAGAGCTCCTCGGGCAGCCTTTTAACCCACAGGCGCCTCCAGAGAGGCCCAGGCGGGAGAACCCAGCCCAGGGGCGGGAGTCGCCGTCAGTGATGGAATCTAGTTCCGCAGGCCCAGGAAGCCGCAGAAGTTGTCAGAATTACTTTCTGTGTCCTGGCCCTGGTCTCACACGATGGGATTTCCCCACCCGGACGTCACCACTTCGTAAGAGAAAAGATTCCCAAGAGTAAGTAGTAAAAGAGCTTGGCCAGTCTTTATTGTATGTTCCCACCTTAACAACCGACACGCACATGTGCCGTGTGTGTGCACGTGTATGTGTGTGGGTGTGAGTGTGCGCATATTTTATAATATTATTTTATAATGTCTTGAAAACTTGCAGACATCTGACTTGCTAGACTTTTTGCTTTAATAAACACCTGGGAACATCTGTATTGATTAGAGTAAACCAATTCTTACAAATAAAGTGCACTCTAAAGATATACGGGGGGGGGACTATTACAAACTTAAAAATAAAGGATAAGATCAAGACCCGCAAAACGAATGGCTGTGAGCCCTTTACTCCCTTTACTAATAAAAGGAGCAAAATAAAGCTCATGACACTGCCATAAGTTAAAGCAAAAGTGTTCAAATTAGGCGACGCTTCCAAATGACCACTCTTATGAATGACATTTCCAATTCTGTGTTTAGTTTTGAAATTTCGCATGTTCAAGACACTACAGATGAGAAGACAGAGACAGGTTTGCTTGCAGGTTGTATGTATACGCGGCTCTTCCGTTTCCTTTACTGGCGTGGGAGAGCCTGGGCCTTACGTACCACTCAGAGTCAACACACATGTAAAGAATGATAGTATATAAAGGCTGATATAAATGCCACCGCATCACGCAAACCTTCTAAGAATAGTAAGTTTACATTACCCATAGATTTCATCTTCCTACTGCTATTTCTTAAAACTACAAACAGTTTTAAGTTGATTGGCTGCTGTGAGAAATAACAGAGTATACAGGGGTTGGCAAAAGCAGGTGAGCTGTTGTAATAAAAATCAATAATACAGCAATTAATAAGTAATAATACAAGAAAAAGCTGTGTTTCGCATACTCACAGCCACACACCTTTTTTGCTCATGCCCATATATTAAGGTATCACCTATTATCTGTGATAAAACAGTATCACGTGGAATCTTCTAGAAAAGGAATCGAACATAAGGCACGATATGGTGAGTATGTGTTGTAGAGCCGTTGGCACCCTCCAGGCCTCCGCACATTTTAACTCGGGTGGTGAATCGCTTCACTGCTGCGGCCCTGTCGGGAGCTGGACCGGCTTCGTCTCGGCCAGGCCTCCAAACGGATTCTGACAAAGACACTCACACGGAATGAAAATCTGTGGCCACAATTAGCCACCAATCAAACTGTGCTTATCAGAGGGACGGGAGTAAGTCCCAGAACCAAAACGTATGTAAAAAAACGGAAGCAGCAAAGAGGGAAAACAGGGAAACGGAGAAAAAGAGCCCGCTGACATGAGACGGCGGACGGCTGGTGAGGTGAGAGGCGGCCTCGTCTGGGTTTGTGACAGAGTCAGTGGGACTGTACTCACAACAGCAAATCCAACAAAGGTCAACGTCAGGGGTGGCTCATGGAGTAGCTGCGGAGAGCTTACTGACTGCTAGTCAACTGTCACATTTAAAGTGGGGAGGGGGCAAGAAAGGGCCTGAAACGAGTGACTGGGACCATCACACATGCTGATTCCCCACCAGAATACAACACTATCCCTAAGGGGTGAAAACGAATGGCCGGATCCTTTGCACTTTTGCTCTACTGGGGGAGGTGCCCCTATTGCAGAATAAAAATAAGAGAAGTTCGAATTTTCACAACAAAAGCTCCCTTTCGCATCTCTGAAATGCAGCCTGAAACGTTTCCACCTTCTTGACCCCTCACGCCCTTGCCATCCTGATGCAAACACCTCTGAGGTGAAGAAAAGCAGGAAACTGCAATAATCTCCGTTACTGCTTATCCAGGCCCATGAACACCGCTCACCTCGCAAATACCCAACAGGTGATCCCCAGGAGCTGGCAGGTGTACCCCAAAGTCTTAAAAACCAGAGCCCGGGAAATCCATGTCTCACAATGGTTCTAAACTCCTCAGGGGCTGCGCCTGAAACGCAAGCCGGCAAGCAAGCCGCCCGGTTTCCCGGCCGAATTCACGTTCACTGTTGTTCCCACTAGGAACGAACGCTAACCTTGACCTCCGTGAACCTAAGTCGGAGCCACTTACCGGCTCTGCTCAGGTCACTTATCACCCTCCTTGCCTTTCGGGGCTGTCATGACTCGGTTTAGGGGATGCTCTATGTAAATGTGACTAGGTTAAAGAAAGGCGAACCGAGAAACGGGTTAAAAAGAAACACCTGGATAAATGAAAGTCATAATCACAGAGAAATGGATGATCAAGGGTGGGGAGAGGATCGTTTTCAAATCATTTTCGAAAAGCCACACTACCCCCACATTAAAAAATCTCTGCGTCGGACCTGCCTCGGTGCTTTAGAATCTGTTGCTGCCAACAGAACTTGTCTCCTTTGGTTATAGGTCCTTGCTGGTAGGAGTCCTCGTTTTAATACACACACCCCTGAGGAGGCCCACCTATTCTACTAGAATAAATTAGTCTACTAGGCTATTTCCCAGACCCAGCAGGGTTCAGCAAGACGGGCCACAGAGCCGGAGAACACGTGCCCTGTTGACAAGCAGGGGGCAGGTGAGCAGAGGTGTCCTGGCGGGAGGGGTTGGGCGGGGTTGCTGAGGGCAGGAACCCCTCAAAGTGGAAAGAAAAAGGCAGATCCAGGCTCAGAACCAGGCTCAGAACCAGGCCATCTTGCTTTCAGTCAGCTTTGGCTTCAAGTGACAGAGACAGAGATGCCTTCACCTTACTTGCCATGGTTTCTGCGTATTGGGTTCTCTGCCAGGGTCCTAACGCCACGGCCTTAACTCCTTTCTTTGCCCTTCGGAGTCTCTGTGTGAAGTCGGCTCGGCTGAGGCCGGTGAAGTAAGTCCTGATCTCCTGCGTCTTGAATTTTGGTGACCTTGACCAGCAGGCCAGCCACAGCCTCCCATTACAATTTGAAACAGAACCAACGCAATAAACTGCAGCCAGAATGAAGTCTACCTGAGGTGAAATCCACTGTGATTAAAAGGCAAGGCTAGCTTGGATGAGATTAGACGTTTTTGCTTTATGACACTCATAAATTTGAAAATATATAAAAGAAAAACCGAATTAACCCTTTGCGGTCGTTTGTCTACTCTCAGCCACCAAAGCTTTTTTACCGTTCCGGTCGTATGTCTGCTCTCAGCCACCACAGCAAGGAACCGTACGAATCTTAACTCTATTCATTCATGTATCAGTTCATAATTTCTCTTGTTTATCCTTCATAATCTTGCATGTTATGTATCACTGCTCTTTCAACGGAAATTCATTCCAACCAGCACGACACCCATGTCCAAATTTAATACGACCGCAAAGGGTTAACACAACCTAGGAAGGTTGTATCAAGAAAGTTCACATCTTAAAAAATGAGGGAGGGGGATATCTGTGATATTTTGAACAATTAAAAAACAAAAAAAAAGCAAAAAAAAGCGAGGGTGTGTGACACAGTGGAAAAGACCATATAAGAACATACGCTTCGCGTGAACTTGGCAGTCAGCACAGCTACCCCTTTAGTAGAAGAAGGGGGGACAGTGGGTTAGCAACCTGGCCTTTTTCTCATAGAATGTCTATTATATCTAGTCGGAGCAGGGAGGGATTTTTTTAAAAGGTTTTGAAATGTTTTTTACTGATTTTAGAGAAAGAGGAAGGCAGAAGGAGAGAGAAACATCGATCAGCTGCCTCCTGCACGCCCCCCACTAGGGATCAAGCCTGAAACCCGGGCACGTGCCCTGACCCCGAATGGAGCCAGCGACTCTTTGGTGCGTGGATGACACTCAACCAACTGAGCCACACCGGCCAGGGCGGCGGAGGGATTTTTCAAAGCTGCAATGCAGACGCAGCTATTCACCAAGAGGCGGTCCATCTCCTGTCTCTGTGTGAATTCAGAAGAACAAGCCTCTCCATGAGGACTGGTTTCAGAGTCACGCAGGGTGACCGCGGCTCAGGGGAGGGCGGCCCAGTGTACAAACTCACGGCGCTCCCTTCCTTCCCACGTGCAGGTTATTTTAATGGCTAGATTCTGCTCTTCTCTCTCTCTCTTATTTGTTCCGTTTTTGGTTGTTTTTTTAAAAACAGCTTTATTGAGGTATAACTCACAAAGCACACAATACTCTCATTTAAAGTATACAGTTCGATGGTTTTTTAGTATATTCATTATAGTGTGCGACGATCACCACAATCAATTTTAGAACATTTTTATCACCTCCGAAGGGAACCTTGTACCAACGATCAGTCATCTCCCATTTCCCCTCTAATTCCCCCTCTCCCCAGCCCTAGGCAACCGCAAATTTACTTTCTGTCTCTATAGATCGACCTATTCTGGACATTTCAAATAAAAGAGATCTTACAACGCGTGGGCTTCTGTGACCGGCTCCCTGTACTCAGCACAGTGTCTTCAAGGTTTATCCGTATCGGAGCAGGTATCACTGCTTCATTCCTTTTCATGGCTGAATAATATTCCACTGCATGGACAGACCCCTATTTACCCATTTGTCAGTTAATGGGCATCTGAGTTGGTACACTTTGGGGCTATTATAAACTATAGTGGGCACATTTTTACGCAGACACATGCTTTTATTTCCCTTTAGTGTGTCCCTGTGAG